GGGGGGGGGGGGGGGGGGGGGGTGTTGTCATAGATGATCTGTAATAACGTTGTTCCATACTTGAGTTAGTACTTTTGATTCCAAAAACCATTCACCGTGGTGAATACCCAGAATTGTGACTTGGCAAGTGGTGACGAGAATATTCTTGTAAGAGAAGTTGAGGTTCAGAGGGATTCTGGTGGTCAACTCTAATGATAAAGTAAGAAATGAATGATTGAAAAAAATTATATTTAAGTGAGAGTAGTCAATTTGCTTGGATGATGTCTAGTTTGGTCATTTTATAGGTCAAAACATTGGACTATTAAAGATCTTTGGTTGCATATTTGAATGGGACGACACCAAAAATAGAATAGATGTGGACATATGTTAGTGGAGATATTTCAACTGATTTAATGCAAAACTAGGGTGATTTTGAATGGTGACATGACAATAATGGTGACATGACAATTTGATATAATATAATAAATTTTTATACTAAATAATGTTGAAAGGTGAAATTATAATTATTAAAAATAGTTTACAATTAATTATAAAAAATTGTAATTAAAATAATATCTTTTTTAAATTAATTATAATTTCTATTTTATGAATTATAACTTAATCTTTCATGAATTTTTTTATAAAATTTTAGAATTTATCAAAATCTAAGGTTTAAATTAATTAAAATTTTAAAAATTATAAATTTCGATAGGTGATGTAGTATTTTACTTTTTTTTTTGGTTGAACGGTCTAAAATGTTTGGGACAATTTATGCGCATTTCAATTAAATTTTTCTCCAATTTGATTAAAAATAGATTATATATGAAAACTGAAAACTAAAGTATTTTTAAGATAATGTGTTACCAATTTTTGAACTCAAAAAGAAAATGAGAGTTTATAACTCCGTACCACTTGAATTACCGGTAATATTTCAATTTCAATCGCCCCAAGTCGGCAGATGTCGCCTTGTCAAGGGTGGAGTTTAAAATTATGTTTAGGGTGGGTATTTTACTAAAAAATTTTAATTTATTTTTCTTCTAATCAATAAAAATAAAGTAATATATTTAAATTTATTATATTATATTCGATACTTAAAAATTCATAAAATACGAAAAGGATCAATCTTTGATAAATATAACATGCATAAATAAAAATAAACAAAAAATAGAAGCTAATTATAACCCTTTGTAGCAAATAAAAATAACTGCATAAAAGATATTATAGTATTTCTCCATATATACAATCAAATTATTAGTCTTTGATCACTCATGTAATTAAGTAAATTAGTTGCCATAATCTTTATATATTTTTTTTAATTAGAATCTTTATAGCTTGAAAAAATGAGTTTGACATGTCAAAAATTTATATAGATATATTCTTAAAAGTGTTCAAAGTATGTTCAAAAATTTATAATTATTTAGGTACGGAGAGTTTATTAATTGATAGAATAAAAAATAATATAATGGACACAATTAAATGTACTATAAATTATGTGAAAAATACACACGTAATATTTTAAAAAAAAATTTGAGGTCGGGCACGTGGCCCCCTGGTCCTCTGGTAGCTCCGCACAGAAAATAAACTAAGCAGTTCACACTAACCATACGCACAAAACAATTCAATTTGCAGAGGAAGAAAAATGGCGAAAGCTCTCCAATTTCCTATTATCGACCTCTCTTCTCCTGATCGCATCTCTACTGCCCGTTCAATTCGTCAGGTCTCTCTCTCTCTCTCTCTCTCTCTCTCTCTCTCTCTATATATATATATATATATATATAGGCTTTGCCTGCTTCCTGCAAAATCAATTTTGTAGAAAACATTGTTCTAGGAATAAATTGTTGTGTTTTAAAGCTCTCGTGTGATACTGTGTGGCCTGTGAGTTTTGTATTACTAGATAAACTATTTTCAAGCCAAGTTATATTTCAATGGTAAATTGCGTTGTTTCTAAGAGTAAAAAGTTCAGATGATTTTGAGAAATTGAAATTGCATGCCATTTTTCGGAAGTATGAAGCTCATCCTCCACCTGTTTCCATCCCTTTCCCCCCACCACGCCACCACGGCTTCTCTCTGTATGCAACGAGGTATTTGACGGTACTTGTTTTGTGTGATGACCTCATTTTGAATGAGAACTTAAATTTCCTTTGACGAGTAAGTAAGCCTTTCCATTTTGATACATACCGATACGAATCTGATTAGGATTAGATGGATATAGATTGAAATTGTTTTTCGATAATTCAAACCTCATTGAAAAATTCGATATCTTATATTTCACAGATTCGGATTTAGATATACGTGTATCCGGTGTGATAATGATTCAATTTGAATTATTTATATATTTCTATATAAATATTAAAGGAATTTAGTTGAAATTTAAGTATAATTTGTTAAAATTTAGTTAATTTAATTTTTTCGAATTGGCTCAAATTTTCGGGTCAGATTTTAAATTGTTAATGGATTTGGATATGGACCACAAAAATAAAAAACCGTCAGATTATCAGATTCGAATCAATCAAAATCTGATCCAAACCGATTTGTTGACTGGCCCAATAGTTGGCCCTCGAGCTGGTCCACCTATTATCTACTCAAAGTCATTTAGTCTTTCTTGTTAACCACACATACCATTCGTCGCGTTGTTGGCATTCCCTCCCAATCCCCCTGGTTCAACTGATTAGGCAAATCTAATCACGTATTTTTGAATAAGTTGTTACATCATGTACATGTATTCAGTCTTCCATTTTTTTGTTTGTAGAAGCGAGTAATACTTTTAAGAATACTTTTCAAGAATATTTCTCAATGGTCATCACTAGACATGCTTGTGCTTCTGAATGATTTTTAACATGCTATTCAAATTGCAAATACTGGGATATGTGGTGTAGGCATGCTTGGATTGTGGGTTCTTTTACCTTATGAATCATGGGATAGATGACGAGTTGGTACAAAGCGTTTTTCAAGAGAGCAGAAATTTTTTCTCACTCCCTGTTGAAGAGAAGATGAATCTTGCTCGCAAGGAACATAGGGGTTACACACCACTTTATGCTGAGAATCTTGATCCCTCTTCAAGTTCTAAAGGTTATATAGCATTCTGTGACTTCTGGTGTTGTTATTTTACCTTTCTTCTTTTGAAATCGTTTCTAGTTAAAAAAAAAAAAGAAGAAGAATGTTGCCATGCCACTTTATGACTTGAATGAGGATGATGTATAAGGGAGCTAAGAGTTGATTGTCTTCTACTAATTGGGGTACAGGAGACTCGAAAGAAAGTTTCTATATTGGTCCATTGGAAAGCATTTCAACTTGTGATCTGAATCAATGGCCTTCAGAAGGTATTCTGTACCTTTGTTATGCATCAAAAGGAAAAGAAAGGAATTGTTTTCTTGTTGGGGGACGCCTTTATTGTTGTTGGGACATTGTTCTTTTGTAGAATAGTTGTCCATCACATGGGAATTATAACCTGCTCTTATTAACATGCCGATATAGTCTTCTTGCAATTTCTGATCTGTTCATCAGTGTGCACTTTGTTTTTTTTAAGTACATTACTTGTTGAAATGAAAATTATTTTGAACAATTCTTGGATGTTTTTCTGGCTAGGGACTTCCAGAAGCTTTGCCATGTTGGAGATCTACAATGGAGTGTTACTATGAAAAAGTCCTGTAAGTATCTCTTGGATGTATTTTTTCGTATTTCATGTTCTTTATTGGAAACTATAAATTGATCTCCATTCATGCTAGATACACATTCAGCATAAAATGTTTATGAAATTCATTTAGCTTACGTTTAACTATTGGCAAATCTGAGAAATTTATCAGTAATAATGTACTCTTCCCTTCACTGAAAACTTATATTATTTAAACACTTCATGATATCTTCCTATATTGGTTAAATGTCGGGGTCATGGGTGAGGGTGATGTTTTATGCTTGGAATGCATGTCATCTGTCCCTTCATGAGGACTAGATTTTGGTGGACCAATTAGCTCGTAGGGACTGTGCTAAGGTAAGGGTATCTCTCCCTCTGTGTGCGGGTGGGTGGGTGTTGTTTGTTAGGCGTTTTTTTTTTTTTTTTTGGGGGGGGGGGGGGGGGGGTCCTTTTTTTTTTTTTT